CCACATAAACTCTCATTGACACTCTAAAAAATTTTGCAAGTCCAAATTCTTAAATGGTACAGGTAGCCATACAAAACTATTTTCAATCTTGACTCTGAAGCTTTTTATACCTTTCAATACCAATGTATTTTGTGATAAATAAAGTCTAACTTATTTTAGTAAATTAATCTTGGTAAATATTAACTTTTTCATGACAAATATTATATTACAACATGACATTGAATATTTAGATCTTATACTGCTTTTAAGTTGTATTATCAAGATGTCATTGAAAACCTTAAAACTCATAAAATCTCAACCTGACACTTAGTCAAGTTTTGAATAAAATTAGCTTATCAAAATTCTGTTATAAAGCAAAAGCAATCAAAATTATAATGTTATCAAAAAATTTATTGATTTAGATATCAAAAATTGATAAGAGACAAAATAATTTTGCTTGATAATAACTTATTAAAAGATTCCAAGTACAGGCCAAGTTTAGATTTGAAAGCTAGATTTATCATTGATCATTTAAATTATTACTAATTAGCTAAATTTAATAATGAGTAAGATATTCATGGTCAATCTTATAGTTTATTTTACAACTAGTTTACATACAACAATGGAAATTACAAACTTTTACGTATTTTTCTTATAAATAATCTTGAAAAACACTTATATAAATGCTAATTCATACAATTTTATATTTATTTATGCAATAAGTTGTTTCATAAATATCATATTTTAAATTGAACTTATATATGACACAATCTACGATATCATATAATCATGATGATGATGATGATTTTGATATAAAATATTGTGGCAGAGTGTGTTTGATTGCATAAATTTAAAATAAATATCAACATTCCAAATTGATAATAAGTTATGGGAAATACGTATGAAAATTAAGGGTACCGAGAAAAATCTAAATGAAAATAATTCTGGGACTATTAAGATAACGATTTTAATATATTGTAACTTTTGAACAAAGGTATTGAATGAAAGATGACAAATTTATATTCCCATTATAGTTGTGAAAAGTTGTTACAAATAATATAACTATGTATCATCAAGTTTGAATCCACTAAAATATGATATTTTTAGAATCGAACTTCTATTAATCCTTACAAATTTAACGTGTTATCTAAAATGCTACATGCTAAAAATTACTGATTGTGATAAAAAAAATACATTTTCAAATCGAACCAAATACATATGATATATCACAAGATAGTATATGAATACTATACACATCACAATGCAAAGATTTATTTTTATTTTACATACACGCATGTTTTGTCTTATAAAAAAGTATACATTAATAGTTTCACTAAGTGTGAATCGCCTTATTTAAAGTAAATGAAATGAAAACATAATGAAAACATCAACATAAAATTCACATGGCGAATTCGTAAAGATGCAAATCAATAGAAAATAAATTTGTTTGGGACAATGAAGACAAACTTTAATATTTTTGATGCTATCTAACCTCTCTCCTTGGGCGTTCTTCGTGATTTATACTTTCTTCAGTTTTATGTCTAGAAAGGTTATGTCAAAAAGAAGTTGCAGTGCATGCAAGGGTCCGGAGAACTGCTTGAAAGTAAACCGTAATCCATGCGAACCCTTAGATCCAACGCATCGACGAGCTAAAGTGCATCTGGTGTACGGAATATCAGAACGATGAACAGTATTCAGATCAGACCCAGCTGGTCATTAGCAGCAGTGGCAGTACTTACCACATTTCCCGGACAGAGTATGCAGGTCTAATAAGGACCACAAGGCTGACCACATTGCACATGAACGTTGTAGCATAATTTGAATAACGTGTTGAAAATACACAACAGTCGGTCCTGAAATTAAATGTCAAAACCAGAATGAGTCATACTTTGTACTGTCCTTGATGTCTGAAAGGGGGACAACTTTCTTTCAAGAGAATTACATGTGTCAGGTTTCATAAAGTCAAATCGCTAATTTACGCGCCTTGAGCGTCATGATCAGACAGTATATAGCGGGTTGTCATTAGCTGCAACACACAAAACATCTCCCAAGCAAGCACCAGCAAGTACTGAACTTCAATCCGTCAAGTATCATAGCAATATATTCTTTGGATTCGGAGTTGGACCCCGAAAACATAGTCCACATTTCAGTAGGGGAAACCATCATAAACTTCAGGCTAAAGAGTGTCGTACCACTATGGCTGATTATAACCATGTGCTCGGCGATGATGATTGTCCCCCGTGGCTAACTGCCGCTCAAGAAACCGAATGTCATCCAAAACAGGTGATCATCAGCATCCTTCTAAACCACGTGCCAACTGGTGATTACGCATGCGCCTTTGTGCACAAGCACTGTACTGTGTACAAATTAGTGCAAGGAGCGCACGTGAATACACCTCTATTTCTTGGCTAGACTCGAGGTGTTATCGTTCGACTCTTCTACATGCTTATGATGCAAACACGATCCTGGGCAGCAAGGTTGATCCGGAAAACCCAAAAGCTTGTTCATATCGCAGTCAGATACGAGACTGACGAGTGACTACTACGATGCTGACCTTGCTAACAAAGTATTATCTGCTTTGGATGCGAGAAATGGATGGAGATATGGAGCCAAAGCACATGAAACTTACATTGGTATATTGGGGGCTGCTCGAACAGGCTTTGATCGTAACCCGCTCATGAGCCTCAAAATCATCATGGGAGCAAAAGTGGGGATAACAATGTCTGCACAATAAATCCGTTTTAGGCAGATCGTTGCTGCTGTCTATGAGTGATCCTTGAATTTTCATTCATGAAATCATTTACAGGAGACCAATAGATGAGTAATTGCAGGTTCCCAGTTGGAGAGAGGCCAGCGGAGTTATTGAGAAGTTAATACGTGATCGTGCACAAGCAAACAAGCCATTAATGTGTGTGGTTAACTGTGGTGGTTTGTAGCCCTGATAACTTTGAGTTGAAGGCAGCATAGAATCTCTCCCAAACTGAAAGCCAAACTGAATGCTCAGAGGAGAGCTATAGCTAAGAGATGAAGCTTGTCTCACTTTCGAGCAGAACATAATAGGTTTGAGCATGCAAATGATTGTTTTGAGCATCACGAGGACGCTTGTGAGTTTCAAGTACGGAGATGCAATCCCCGGTTTCCAACTTCTGGCACATGGTGGGACCACTCTGGTACTTAACAACATTTACGTTGTGCACGCTACAAGAAATGGCCCTAAAATGGCATTAGCTCACTGGTTTGTGATTTGCCTCAAATCCTCGTGGCTAGTAACATTAATCAATTTATGAAATAAAATTGCATATTCCGGAGAGTGTTACAGAAGTTCTATCGTGGATCAACACTGATTATTCTCTCTTTATCCCTCACAGTTTGCATGCATTCAAAATATGCGAGGCCTGATTTCATGGTCCAGCGAACGAGTTTTGGTCTGGAACATCCTCGCATTGGCACAGGACCCATGTTCAATCAGATTTGGGATCGTGCGCTCAAAATTTGTTGGGGGTCTGATTGATTAGTCTGAGAAATGATTTTCTTCTCTACTTCTTCCCTGTCCTGTTATCCAAGCATAAACCTTGCTGCAGTAAAAAATACAGTTGGCATCATCCTTTCGGGGATGAAATGCAGTTTGTGGCGAACCCATCTGTCGGGGCGAAGAGTCTCATCAGGAGCGGTGAACTTAAGTGGCACAAGAATTCAGAGTAGGAGACACTCGTTATATCCAACATTTGGTGAGGCCATCAATCAGCCTGAGTTCGAATCGAAAGAACCTCTGCGCAAGATACAAAGTATTTTTCCAGAAGTGCAATTTCATGACACTAGCCTGGCTTACTTATCTCGCTACTTTGGTATAATACCATGTGTCAGGTTAGCTGAATGTCAGTATCACATTCCAAACTCACTGCTCCTTAGTACATATTTTTCAGTATGACGACCCATATCCTGTAAATCTTGCTAAAATTTAAGGTACTGAATTATTCTTGAAAAAAGTAATGAGTCAGCTAATCAGCTATCTGATTCTTTAAGTAAACAAATATCAAATATTTCTAACAAATTTGCAAATCCAAAACCTCTCGATCTCTCTAGAATCTATCTCAGAAAAACAAATGCTTCTCTGTATCTACTCAACTTGTCATGAGTATGTCTTGAAGTTTTGCGTTGTAACCTTCTACAAACATTATTTGGCATCATTTGGATACACCTGTTTGGTTGGGCGAGGTTATGTCGATTAATCTTGCCAGGGTTCGATGTTAGTGTAACACTAAAATCCAGGAAGAATATAAATACATGCTTGGGATTCAATGCATTTTGTACAAAGTAAGCCCCAACCTTTCAGACATATTCTGAGAACAGACGAGACGTTGAGATTGGCCTGGAATGTAACAAAAAATCCGATGATGACTGCCATAGCGATCTTCAATGACCTTCACCACCCTTTGACACTTTCATATCAAAAGTTAATGCTTCTACCCCACATGGCGATTTCCATTTTTCTTCGGCCTGTCAATATATTCTCAACGGATCAAGGTAAGAATATTTGCTAAGCGTATTCGATCTGCCTTGATAAAGAATTATAAAATAACCATTAAAGCCAATTTATGCAGATCTTGGAGATTTTTCAACTGATGCCGGAGCTTTTTCATTCCATCAGATCTAGGAAATGCAGATGTTAAGGTAGGGACATGTGCTAACAAAAGATATTCCAACTACTGCATATGTTGACCTCTATGCATCATTCGCTTTTGTTCAAGCCTGCCGAAAGTCCTGATACACAGTAAACAAGCATTGAATAGGGACTGACCATACTCAGTTCATCTTGAAAAGTTAAGAATGCTTGAAGAAAATATTTTATTTCATAAACTTCCAGTTCTCACCAGATTCATTCATCCAATTGTGTGTTTAGTCTAAATAAAGTCTGTCTGCTCTTGATGAAGTTCGTATTTTCCTCCCTTCTGCATCACCTGATACCATCTTTGTAAACACTGAGCTCCCTAAAGAAACCAATCCAGCCGTACATCTACCTTTCAAGCGAACTGGGCTCTCAATGCCTTCACTACATCGCCTGATACACCGAAGGAGATCTCGAGCACCTCGTCAGAGATGGGTGCGCTGCTGTTAAACAAAGTGTTAGGTAAGCGGACAAGGCCAGCGTTGGAGCTGCTGAATGCGGCCAGAGCTGTCACCGTCTGGTACTTGTCGTTGTTGATCTGGAAGTGAACGAGACCTTTGGGGAAAGCAAATATATCGCCCTTGTACAACACATTCGTGAACAACTTGTTGGTGGTATCGACCAATCCAACTTCGAGAGTTCCCTCGATGATAAACAGGAGCTCGGTTCCACGAGGATGGGTGTGGGGTGGGTTCACGGTGCCTGGTGGGTATTGAAGCAAAGCCATAGAAACACCGAGGCCGTCGACTGCGAGAAAAGGAGCACTCGCTGGTGCAACGACATTGACTGTAGTGACAGTGGCGAAAGGTGAAGCAGCGTTGGCCATGACGTTGCGCAAGAACGTGTTGGTGAAGAAAGTGCCATTGATGTCGGCTGCATTCAATCCTGCTGGGACCTGGAAATCCTTGGTTAACTCTGGATCAGAGGCCTGCACAGACTGGAGGGTCAGAGCACCTGCAATGCAAATCAGCATAGCGAATGAAGAGTGTAGAAGTCGACCCATTTTCTGGAATGAGGAGAAAACGTGTGAGAAAATTTGTGAGTAAACCTGTCAATCTGTTTTTGAAGATTGTGAAAGTGGTGCAGCCACTCGCTGTGTTTGTATTTTTTTCAGATTTTTTCCAAACACAGATTTGTGTTTCAGTGAAAGATGATCAAACTAGTAATGTGGAAAGTGGCTTGCTGCTTAGGAAATGAAAGCGTGCCTTTATACTGGCACAAGACCGTGCTATTGATCCATGTTCTCAGAATTAAACTGCATCAATCAAGGCCAAAGTTGCACTGTTCATGGCACTATGCATCGGAATTTGTCAAAATGGGATCCGGATCAGCAGTATGCCCAAATAGGTTGAACTGTTCATTTTCCTGATGTTATTCCGCCTGTTCTAACGCAGTCTAAGAATTTCATCAGACTTAGTCCTCACGGGATGCCAGGATCTCACAAATCCTTCGTATTTTAGTGTACAGAAGTAGTTTTTTTATAGATATTCTGAAGCTCAATCAGGTCGTTGGAAGGTTGTAACACAGAAACAAATATCACTGGTCAAAAGTGAAGTATATATATTTTTACAGGTTAATCACGTAGACCTACTAGAAGTAATATGTTTTACTAAACTAATTGTATACTAGTCACTTGTTAAGTTTTGCATAAGGACGTCTCATGATGACTTCTTAGGGTAACATTTACAAGATTCCCTTCTCCAATTTAAGAGAAGTTATTTATACATGACAACACAGCATATATGCACATGTTCACACTGCTCCACTCTGTGATTTCGGGGCAATCACATGCTTACACACGTGATAGTCATGAATAGCGCAATAGCGTTGCGAAAATAAAGCCACGAATGGATAGCCGGGTGGTTCCTTTGGCACCAAGCCACTCTCTCAGATAAAATAGAACGAAGAATCTAGCTTTGACACACAAATCTGTGAATTAGGAGACCCAAAATTAACATATTCTCTAGCTAGGGTAAGAGAAGCTTCTGGCTGGACGAATTCTACACCTTCAAAATTTTCAAAATTTCACCGAAAGTTAGAGTGATTTTCACTGCATTTTTCAAGAAGGGTAGTTTTATAATCTCGTCGTTAACTTTGTTCTTCTTATTGATGGTTTTCTTACGTTCCAGAATGTCGGGATTCTTGGGACCTGCACATGAATCTACTTGGCTATCTCTTCAATTGCCTGTTTCCTTGTATGGATCATGCAGCTGTACAATGATCGCTGCCATCATCCTCTAGAGAGGGGAATGGAGATTGCAGAATGTAGAATGTTGATTGCCACTGGATAATACGCTCAAAAGGAATGTTGATTTGCACAAAAATTGGAAAAGGAAACTCTGATGCAGAATCTCGCTATTTTAAACATTTGGTGATGAAATCAGTCATCCGGAGCTCAAATTGAAAACACCTCTGACCAATTCACGAAATATTTATCCTGAAGAGCAGTCTCCTGAAACCGTCCTTGCTAACTCACCTCCGTATCTGCATTATGAGCACAAGTGACTCAAAAGATCAGTGAGCAGACCATGTTGGCTTGGTACTAGCAAGCATTTACGTTTCCAACTAACACTCTAGTGCAAATTACTCAGTTCCTCTTATATACCTAATAAGGCTTGAAAAACTAACTTATTACTTGAAATTCTATACCTCAACACATTTATTCTTCCACTTGTATGTTCAGTCCGAATATAGTCTGTCTGCTCTTGATGAAGTTGTTATTTACCTTCGTACTGCACCACCTGAGACGGTCTTTATAAACATTGAGCTGTCTGGAAAAACCTTCCCAATTATTCATATACCTTACAATCAAACTGGGCTGTCAATGCCCTCATTTGTTTTGCTGCAACCGAGGACCCAAAAATGGAGGAAAGTGAGCAGGTGCATATATGCATTGTCGTCTTCTATATTTTACCATTCCTCTGTTTATATTCATGCATTTTACATATATGTTTTTCTTTTCTTGATAAAAAATATTTCATGAATATTTTCACTAATAATGTATAGGTATGATAAACAAAATATCAAAATCAAAAGAAGATGGTATACCGGCTTCATCAATGGAAATTCAATTCGTTTAGGACAATCAAAACAAGGCATAGTCTCGATGGCATTTCAACAAATAGGAGGAAGCATGGGCATTCTCGAAGTCGTCAAGCAAGGGAGTCGTCAACACAGAAGACGACAAGAAGGTGGCAAGAATGAGAATAGACAAGAAGGATGTGGAGGAGGAGGTCCAAGCGAAGGTGGAAGAAAGAAAAGACGGAGCCAAGAAAGAAAGAGTCTTGAAAGAAGAGGAAAACACGAGGAAGAATCAGAGGAAGAAGAAGGGAGAAGGACGGGGAGGCAGCGCGTCCACCACAAGGCTAATTGTCTTTTCGGATCTAATGCCTCACATTCATGTGTAGTTCCGTTAGTGTAATTTGCCCGAATAGAGTTGTCGATATCATAATACTAGAGGAATGGATGCCAATCAGGTTCTTCTGAAGTTCCAGCGGTTTCATCTCTTGTGAGCGAATTTTCAAACTAGTGGTGCAAGTGTGTGGTCCATTTACGCAATGGCAAGAGAGAAGCGTCCTCTGGATAAGGACACATCAAGTGATGGAATGCCCGAGGAAAAGCATCAGCGTGTTCCCGCATTAGCGAGTGTGATTGTTGAAGCGGTCAAAATGGACAGTCTGCAGAAACTCGGTTCCACTCTCGAGCCTTTACTTCGTCGGGTGTCACGGGAAACAGGTAGGAGAAGAATTGAGCGTGTTCTTGTGATGTTAACTGTCATGTAGTTACGAGTCGGCTCACGCAGTTTAGACACTTACTATATTTAGACGTGAAGTTAGGGTTCGGGTTACGAGGGGTATACAGTCGGGGACGGCTCAAAGAACGTTAGTTCTTCGAGTCGAGCCTGGAAGCGTTGGGAGCGTAAAGTGACTTTCCCCTTTGCGTCGACCTGGATTCTCCGAGTGTGGAGTGGGTTGGGCTTGACTCATGTTTGTGACGGTGACGGTTTGTTGCCAGTAGGGTAATTGACCGACGGGAATTCCAGGGGGGAATCTCCCGTCTATTTCACTCGAAGAACTCACTTTCGTTGAAATCGTCACAGTTGACGGTTTTTGTTTGTATTTTTGTCAAGTATTGATGTTTTTTTCTGGAAACCGCGATTTACTTAGATTTGGTAGGGAAGTTACTTTGTTCGAGGATAATTGCGGATGGCCGCTGGTCCCTGAGTATTAGATAGAACGTGGAGTGAAATTATTTTTTTGATATCGTGAATGTGAAGCAGGGTTTGTTGGAATTGCAGAAGCTGGGAATTGACAAGCAGCTATCAGAAGCGTCTTGAGAGTAAATTGCTGTACAAGCCTTCAAAAAGTTTGTAGATGAACAAGAAGGGCAGTTGTGAGTGACAATCGGCTGGTGTGCAGACTGTAGACAGTGTCTATAGTCACTGAAATGGTTTACGTCACAATTGATTAGATGGGGACTGAATGTTATTTTCTGTGCGAATAGCGGTCGATTTCTCATGGGTATTTTGCAGTCGGGAGCAGAAGCACTGCAGCCCTACGGATGAATTAGGACTCGTGCGGTGGAGAGTCAATTGAAGTACAGCGTTCTGATTTCATGAGAAGATTGCACTCACCTGCTCGAAGAAGGCGATTCTCACCACAGAAGTATCTCATCACTCTCCCGGAGAAGTATTGAAGAACTTCAAAGAAATTCAAAATCTCAGAATAGAATTGACAGGCGGCGAGCTTGGCATCGAAGAGGGCGTTCTGTGGAAGTGGAAGACAGAGTTCGGAAACACTTTGCAAAGTTGTGAAATTCTACGCGCTGCCTCGTTAGTGAAGGGAACCGAGGTCGAAAAGAAGGGAAGCGAAGTTGTAGCTCTCGGCTTTCCGTGGAGCCGAGCACGGTCCAAAGGTCTTTTGGCCACCGATGACGGCAAAAGTGTGATCCTATCTTTACCTAGAGGACTGTAGGGCCGCTACTCTCGGTTGGCTGGCCGCATTTTGCTTTCGTCGTCGTCATTGGAATTGTCACTGTTTTGTGCTCACGTAGGCGGTTCCTGTTCTCAATGCTCTGCCGTGGCTTCTTCTTCTTCCATCCCGTCCCCTCCTCGCCTATTCTGTCCAGCTGCGACCGGTTGTCCGCTAGGACGCTCAGCTCTGCTGCAACTCGTCTTCTCATGACCATATGCCTCGGCCTGGAATTCGTATAGTAGGCTAACTTGTCTCTCTCTACGTCTCTTCTTGTACCTCTGGTGGATAGAATTTCTCCTCTCAAGGAGCTTAGCAGGTCCCATCGGCAGAATTCGCTACTGCCTCTGTGAGATTCTAATTCTTTCTCCGACGAGAGGCGAGTTCAATCAATCAATCTGCGCAATTCCGCCCATTACAGCTGATTATCAGTTTCTTGCTCTCGAGAGCCCTTCGTGAATTCATATCCTGAACAGGGTTTTACTTCACCTGTAAATTATTCTGTTATATTTCAGATGTTTGTGGTACCCCACTTTTGGTAATTTTGGGGAAATTAAAACATTTTGGGGAAAACTGTACCACGGCAGCAGTGTAAATAGCCTTCGGTGCATCAAAACAGAGTGAATCCGGAAGATCGAAGAGATTCTCGAGGGACCTCGTAGAATCTAGAAGTTGGGTGCAGCGTCAAGGAAGGGCACCACCCTCCCTGCGAGCTCTGAAGGTATGATCCCTTCGGCACAAGGCGCAAAATCCGCCTTCGGCGCTTTGCCCTCTGCGGTAGGGAAATCCTTCATATTTAGGTCTACCCCCAAACGCCTTGACTTAGTTAGGGTCTCGTTGGAAAGAACTCGACACGCTGATTCTAACGAGCCCAAAAACGCCACAAACGGATGAGGACTCCGGGAGTTATGAAGGTTGTAAGATACTCAGCTTTCCGCCTGCGCACAAGCGCAGGAGGTTTTGTCCTATGCGCGGACGAAGGAAGTTCGCCTGCGCACAGGCAAAATAGGGTTTTTGATGTAGGCGCGAAGTTTGCCTACGCACAGGCGTCCGCCTGTGCACAGGCGCTCCGGCGTCGGCGGGAAATCCGCCTTCGGCCCTAGAAATGCGCCTTCGGAGGTAGAAATTGTACGGCGCCTTCTGCGCCAGCGCAACGGCGCGGACGAGCAAGGAACCGCCAGAATAGTAAAATCCGTACGGACTGTACGGATTGGACGGATAGAGGCGCTCATGGTCGGGCGGAGTTGCGGCGGCGAGAGCGCCGACGGAGAGACTAGGAACGGACAGTCTGGCGGGAGGCTGTTGACCGCGGTCAACGCCCTCCGCGCCAGCGCATCGACGCGGACGGAATTCGCCTACGCACAGGCGAGCGCCTGTGCACAGGCGGGGGAAGTTCCGCGCCGGCGGAGAATCCGCCGAGGAGTCCGCCTGCGCACATGCGGGAGTTGAACTTTTGTCCGACGTGCGGACAAGCGCCGAAGCAGAGGAGGATTGGCTGAGGAGCGGTACGAACGAGTGTACCGCGCAAGGCGGAAAATCCGCCTTCGGCGCTGCGCACCCATGTCCGCGGCGCAGTACGCTCGCGGAGTTCAAATTCGCCAATTCAAGCGTGTGAGTTAAATCGGCGTCGGCGGAGCGTGAAGCCGCGCGTGAGAGCGGAGACCGTTTTAGCGTAGAGCCGGCGCAGCCATCAATTGAGTCGACCTTCGCGAGCAAGAGCCGACCATGACCTTCGACAGGGAGGCGGAGAGCGTCCCATTCTTGAATTCGCGATTCCATTTTCTAGTGCGAGCTGCGCGCGTCCATCTGCTAGCTGCTAAGCATTCTCGACATCGCCGCGCAGAGGATTACTTGGTGATTGAGAGAGAAGTGAGCGCGCGTGATTTGGAATTGAGTGAGATTAGAGTTTGCCGAGGAAGCAAGGAGCTCGAGCGGAGCAGAAGGAGAATTAGCGAACAGGCGAATTCCAAGAACGCAATGTCGAGACTGGGCCGATTGCGGATGCTGCCGCTCCGACTGCCATAGAAGGGGCTGCGCGCTTACGAGGAGCGGCTGATAGCAAGAAAGCTCAATTTCTTGCTATGGGGCTGCGTGCACCATATCCACTACATCTGTGTGGATATGGTGCGCGAGTGGCTAGAGCCACAGGGCCCACCTACGCGAGGATTGCGACCGCATGTCGATCGGTGGACGGTCCAAGATTGGGCGCAGGCATTGGGGAGGTGTGCCGGCATTCCAGGGCACCTCCTCTTTGATAGTGAGAGCGTCAAGGTGTCTAAGCAGGACGAGGCGCAATTTGTGGAGCTGTTCAAGCGGGAGAGGTCTACCAAGAATGGGTACAAGACCCGTGTAATAACCCACCAAAGGCTAAAACTGCAGTATGGTGGTAAAAAGATCGAACCCACAGGGACAGAGGCAACACACAGAGTAAAAGTGTCACGTTTAACAGACTTTTGTAGAGTTTGAATTCTAGGCGACTGTCACTCCCATAAATACTGTAATGCTCGACTCGGAGGCTCGACTCGGAGGAGGATCTTGACTCGGAGGATGCTCGGAGGATGCACGGTACAGCGTAGTCACTCAACACACACACACACACACACACACACACACCTGAAACTGGCAAAAAGCACAACTCGGAGGTCGGTCAGGACCTCCGCTTCGGATTTCAGGAGGAAAGTGTCTCAAAAGGTCACTCAGAGGTTCTGCAGGTAGTGCCTCCCACTCCGGTTTTTACTGCCCTTCCTGTGGTAACCCACTTTTTGTTTTTTATCGGAACTAAAACATTTTTGAATAGTAAGTACCGCGGCAGTAGCTGTAAATAGTAATCGGTACGCGAAACCAGAGGATCGAGGACAGTCAAGGGGTTTTGGGCTTAGGCCACAGTGGGACGCTTGGGACGGAACGGGCGGTTCATGCTGCAGGATCCGCTTCGAGCACCTTCGGCGGTTGATCACTCATAACTTTCTCAATTCGTAACGCCTTGAGATGCTTCGGGTCTTGTTGGAAAGAGCTCGCGACGGTCGTTCTAACGAGCCCAAGAACTTGTGAAACGGATGAGAGGTCACTGAGTTATGAGTGTCGGAAGTTACTGATGGGGGGCCTTCGGCGGTAGAGCGACTTTGGCGGTACGCCTTCGGCGGAAGAACCGCCGGAAGATGCGCCTTCGGCGGTAGACGCCTTCGGGTCAACGCCTTCGGCGATGCGGGAGAGTGCATTCGGCGGAAGAGTGAATCCCTCATACCTTTCTCAATTCGCAACGCCTCGACTTGGTTAGGGTCTCGTTGGAAAGAACTCGACGCGCTGATTCTAACGAGCCCAAGAACGCAACGAACGGAGGAGAATTCCGGGAGTTATGAAGGTCGCAAGATACTCAGCTTTCCGCCTGTGCACATGCGAAGAAAGTTTTGTCCTATGCGCGGACGAAGGAAGTTCGCCTGCGCACAGGCGTTCGCCTGTGCACAGGCGCTTCGGCGTCGGCGGGAAATCCGCCTTGGGCCCTAGAAATGCGCCTTGTGAGGTAGAAAGTGTACGGCGCCTTCTGCGCCAGCTCAGCGCCCCGGACGGACAGGTCAGCGCAGCGGACGGACAGCTCAGCGCCACGGACGGCCAGGTCATCGCCACGGACGGACAGCTCAGCGCCGCGGACAGCCAGGTCATCGCCGCGGACGGACTGTGGATAGGCGAACGCCTTCGGCGGAAGAGTAAAACCGACATAACTTTCTCAATTCTCAGCGGTTTGACTTGATTCGGGTCTTGTTGGAAAGAACTCGACGAGCTGGTTCCAACGAGACCAAGATCTCTTGAAACGG